CACTGTTGTTACCATCAGAGCTGACCTCACGGCCTACAGAGCGGAGTTCGCTACCTTCCGCACGAATGTCGCAACCATGTTCAGAGATTTATCTAGAGACATCCGCGGAGCCAGACCTGCCTGTGCTACCTCCTCTTCCTAAGCTCTCACTCTTTTATATCTTATGATCCCTCTCTCCTTTTGATACTTTATTATTGTTACTGTATTATTTTTACAGCCAGTCTGTCGGCTTTGATATTTTTGTTGTACCTGCACTTTCTCTATTTTATATATCTATTTTTGCTATGGTTGTCATCTGATTGTATTCTCATATCTGTATGTTTGACTCCATCAGGTGCATCACAATGACTTCAGTGAGAAAGTGCTACCCAATTTTCAGGACCACCCTTATACCTCTCTCATTTTTTTATCTGTTTATCCCATTTACACTTGCATGTCCACTGTGCACTGATTATCCCATTTTGTTATCTAATGAGTTTATCCAAGTGCCAATTTACAGGACCACAGTTAATCCCAAGTTTGGGGGGGCCATGCCACCCACTTCGGATATATCAGTCCCGATCATTCTTGCTTAGTTGCATTGGTATACTCTTTCCTTTGTTCTCTTTGCACATTGAGGACATTGTGCAATTTAAGTTTGGGGGGAATAGTGTCTTACAGTGTTAGTTTTAAATTACATATCTTTTGAGCATGACTTGTGTATTTGAGGGATATTTCTATGATTGGTCCATATCTAGCCATGATTTTGTTCTTTTGAGGACTATATTACTTAAAATTTAAAAATTACTTGACTTAAGAGTCCAATACTCCTTGTATGCCTTATGAATGCCATTTAGGAGTAAATATTTCAAAAGATTGATATCTTGCTTGCACTTGTGGTCCACATCATCCTGATTTTGTGATTGTTTTGAGATTCACTCTAGTTTTCTACACTAGCACAGGCGCACACTAGCATTCATTTGTGGGGTACATGCTTTGTTAATTATTGAATTGGTTATATCCCAATTGAACTAGTAGTGCATTGAAAGCTTTCATTCTTGATAAAGGTGGATAACAACCCCTTTTCACTAAGTAGCCGGGATTCTAGCCTCATCAAGCACTGAACTTCGCGCACCGAAAGGTGGAGGGCCCAAACCCTAGGTTAATAATTGAACTTGTTTGGTCAAAAAAACAAAAAAAAAAAAAGAAGAGCAAAAGCAAAAGCAATAAAAAGTGAAGACTTCTCCCAAATGGTGAGAAGTGGGAAATGATTATATGGTTATTGTCTTGATTTGTAGCCTAGTTGATTTGAGCTTGTAAGTCCGTAGGGGTGTCTTAACACCTAATGCCCTAAAGCCGTCTGGTTTGGGAGTCATTGACCTAACGCTCGACCTCATGAATCGCTAGAAAGCTTAATAAATCAACACATTGCACTATACCTCATGAATCGCTAGAAAGCTTAATAAATCAACACATTGCACTATACTTCCATCTTTGATCCTATAAAAATATATATATATATATCCGAGTGAAAAGAATAAGCGCACCTAGAACAATAAAGCTTTAATAAAAGGTCCACTTTTTGTCTTGATGATCGGTACTAGATTTGTATGCTAGTTTGAGGGTAAGGATGTGATTTATTCTTTAGTTGGCTAAGATAGCAACACATTGATGCCGGTCCACTCAAAAGAATTCTAGAATTGTTTTGATTTGCATGATCACTTTCTTGATGTGTAGAGGACCATACTTGCTTGCTTGATATTGAAATTTTGAGAGATTGCTTGGAAAGGGTTGAAAAATTGCATACTTGAGGTAGTTTTCTCCCAATACTTGTTTGCAATATTGGTACCTCTTTTGACAAAAATGAGCTTAATGTTTGTGGGTACCATTTCTGGAAACCCTCACGAGACTTCACTCGTCCACTAGGGGTAACCTATGGGTTTAAAAGGCTTGTTGCATATGCTAAATGCAATTGTGTTCCCTACGAAAGTGGCGTTATCCATTTATTGTTTTCTAGTTCATAGCTGTATAGTTGTTCATCTCATTTCTTTACTTCGTAGTTTATTGCTAGGGACTAGCAATATTTAAGTTTGGGGGTGTGATGAGCACTGAAAAGTGCATATTTAAACCCCTTAAGCTTAGGCATTCTAGTACCTTTATCTATCTTACTTTACCGTTTTAGATTGATTTTGTATTATTTCCATTTTCAAGCGCTTATCCCGAAAATAAGCTAACTTAGCCAAATAAGAACTTAATTGAAGCAATTCTGGGATTGAACAAAGAAAGGAGCAAAGTGGAGGAAGAAAAAAGCAAAATGAAGCAAAGCAGCAAGTTCGATCGATCCAAATCCAAGGTTCAATCGATCGAACATTGATCAATCTCAGCACTTCAAGATAGATCCAAGCCTTAACCCAAAGCACTTAAGTCCAAAAGTTTGATCGATCCAACATCATTCTTCGATTGATCGAACACCTTTATCCTTATACAAATGATTTATCCTATCCACGGCTGAATCACCCACCAACCACTTTTGTCCTTTTCCCATAAATATCTCCCATAAATATCTTAGATTTGTCTTTTTCCAAAAAGCTCAGCCAGTTGGATCAATCCAGCCTAAGTTCGATCGATCTCACTTACTTTCGATCGATCGAACTTCCTCCAGTACAAAAAAGTTAAAATTCCATCTCATTGAAAGTTGTCCTTTATCCAATCATTAGGGAATATTGTGTGCACGACCCCAGCTCATTTTGGGTGTCATTTTGACCTACCTATACAAGGATAAGGATTGCTTTTTCAAAGGGGATGAACATTACTTTCATATCATCTCTTGAGAGGAAGTTTAGAGAAAAAGATGGCTAGGGACACCATTAGAGATCTTCATCAACGAGGAACAAACCTCTTCCATGGGTTTAGCCCTTGAGGGTTGGAGCATCCTCACCATGAGGGGCTAGACATCCTCTTGGGGCTAGAGTTAGCCCCAAGCATGCTTTATATATCTTAATCTTGTGTATTATTGAGGGATTAGTGTTGCAATTAATGTTTTGACACTTTGATATATATAGATCTTGTTTAATCAATGATTTATGTGGTTTAATGCTTCCAATTGATCATTTCATTCTATCTATATGTCTATGTATGTTAGAATAGATGTTCATGTGCTTATTTCTAGATTTTGTGTTGTTAATGCATGTCTATGTGTATTGATGCCATAAATTTAGAGGTTGTCAAAACATAGTGCTTAAATGAATGTTCTTGTGATTCTCTAGATGGTTCATGCTCATATCTTGATGGATTGTGTTTCCTTCTTAGCTAAATTAGTTTAATTTCAATGGCTTAATTGTAGTTTAGTGGTAGTATAATATTAGATGAGAAGACAATCCATGCTAGTTGTTTGATGCTCCATACTTTTTAATGCAAGTAGCATATGTCTCTAATCTTGTGTTGTATTTGGATTGTAAGCCTAATGAAAAAGACCAATGATTTGTTAGATATGTTGTGCTTTTCACATGCTATTTAGACAATATATACTTAATTGTTAGATATATTATGCTTTTCGCATGTTGGTTAGACAATGTATACTTAATTAGTCATCCTTGCTTGTTGAATCAACCAAATACACACACACCAATATTGTAACACCCTAATTGCCCTCATTAATCACTTGTCAATAATATAGAAATGCATTACTTGGTGGTGATCCCTAAACCCCAAGACTCTTCTCTCTCTTTTACTTAATCTCCATTGCATTCAATTACTTAGTTTAATTTTGTTGCTCTTTAATCAACCTACCAACCAATTGTTTAATCACTCGACCTACTAACCCTAATAACGATTCCACAATCAACTCCGACTCCAATCCCTTGGGACGATCCCTACTCGCCCTAGCTATATTTATAGTGAAAGGTAGCAGTGGCTTTTACAAATGTAAAACTTGACCCTCGCCTAAATTGCACATTCTCAAACGTATGGTAGGACGACGACCAGAACACTCTCCCTTTGTACTGATTTATCCATTCAGCCTTATCTGTCAAACAATGTTGATAATGTAAACACAGTGTTCATATAATTTTTGAGACACAGAGAAAGTGAGGAAGAAAGAAACTCACGAGGTAAATTGTGGTTGAAATAACAGTAAGCTGAATAGGCACCAAGCTGCTATCTCTGGTTGTGATAGCCAATACAGCATAAGAATCACTCACATTTGTTGTAAATAAATGTTCACCCTAAATATTTCAATTTAGGATAATAGGAAGATCAGCTCTGGTACAAATTTTGGGGAAAAATATATCTGCAACAATTCTCCATTAAAAAAAATATAAAAAAAGATAAACACTAGAATTGAACTTCAAAAAGCTATTTATATTAATTGACGCTCTCTGGCATGCATATGATAAATTAGACACTTGAGAACAGTTTATGCGAATATGTATATTGCATGCTCTGGCATTGTGAGGAAACAAGTCATAATGACTTTAATATGATGTTATTTTCCTAGCCTTCCGTAAGCATGTTACATGTAAGCCCGTCCATTGTCACATAATCCCATAACCTCCTTGCTTTCATGGCCCTCCAGCTGCCAGAAAACTCACACACCTATCATTTTTAAATAAAACTCACACACCTATGATTTTTAAATAACACTCCACATGAGACTCATACGAGGACCCAGGAAAATAATTTCAATACCAAAATAAACCACCAAAGGAATAATACAGATTCAACTTAGAATAAGTTACATCATACTTAGAAATGTTTTCTAAATAAGTTAGAAATACTATCACAACATAGTTATACTAATGCAGTAGCGGAGCTCCAAGGAATTAATAGTAATTACAAAATAATTCCATATTTAAGGCCTTAACACCTTACGAAATAACTCCACTAGAATTAGCAATTATATAACTATTTTATCCAGGTATAGGAGCCTTGCACTTTCGATGATTATGACCATTCTCGCTGCATCACGAACAGTGTAACGGCCTTACATTTTGAAAGTGTGATTCGATTCATTTAATACGAGGTCATCCAGGGGGACGTGTTACTGTAGGAGGCCTAAGATGGGAAGCACCTTCACCGTCAGCAGCAGCAGCAATAACAACAACAGCTAGATTCGGCATATCATGCATGGGGACAGAAGACATGAGATGTTCGCATAGTTTTTGTTGTGTTTCAACCCTAAACCATGGATCAACCATCTCATAAATATTTAAAGATAATTCATGGATGGCATAGCATGCATGAGAACAAGGAATCCCACTCATGGTCCACTTCAAACAACTACAAGAATTTTCACTGCCAAATACCACCCTGAATGGTTTTCTGTCTCGATTATATACTGTACACTCAGTAGGCAAAACACGCATCGACTGAAAACCAAGTGCTAACTCTTGCTCTTTTTGGATTTTCTCCTCAATACGATCCCCAACCGGGATAGTCCACTTCTGAATGTCCAAACTCTTTTGGTATAAAAATTTACTGAGTCTTTGCATGTGTGTATCCATCAGCCTTATGATTGAAAAAACCCTCTCTTCTTTCACCCATGCATTGAAGGACTCTGCTTGATTGGTGTATAATTTATCCCAACGTTTGGAAGTAGACATAGCATTTGACCAATGTTCAGGTGAATTCGCCAAAACCCAATCGCACAACTCCCCTCGAAATACCCACATGGCAGCCAATGCATTCTCATACTCATCTACAGTTCGAGCATATGCAATTTTATCGAGTAATTTTTTTGCTTGTTCTTTACCCGATCCTAAACTTTGTCTCCCAAGAATGGATGTAGAAAAATTCGCCGTTAGGTGATGAAGACACCATGAGTGGTACTGGGAGCCAAAAATATCTCTAATACAGCTTATTAGGCTCCGATGCCTGTCGGTTAAGATTGTCACAATGCAACCATCTAGAATCTCTTTCGCCTTGCTCAAGAACCAATGCCAATCATCATCATTCTCAGAAGAAATAACAGCATACGCCAAAGGCCACAAGCCATCATCGCATCGAACCCCGTTGCACCAAGCATTGTTCCTTTATAATTGCCACTCAAGTGGCAAGCATCGATTGCTAACATGGGCCTGCAATAGTTGATAAAACCTCGTATGGAGCACCCATAAGCTACAAACACTCGCTTAAATCTCCCATCATCCGTGCACTCCCACGATGTAATTGTCCCGGGAATATATTCTGCTATTCGTTCACATAACCACGGGACTAAAATATAGCTATCCTTGGGATTTCCCTCAATGATATGACGTGCACACTCCTTAGCTCTCCACGATTGCATGTAAGTCATTTTAGCAGAAAATTCACCGTTTATGTCTATGGAAATAGTCTTAGGGGTGCATTTAGGATTGTCCATAACCTTGTTCACAATAGCTCGACCCATTTCCTTCGACCTAAAAATGGCTTTATAATCTGAATTGTCTTAAGCAGTGTGAGTGTGAACATTATTAAACCGCTTGATTCTCACTATATCACCACTTCCTTTACAACCAGCTGACAATTTCCATGGACAATTATTAACCTCGCACACAACTCTATAATAGTTTTTGCTATTGTCCAAGTACTTGAACCGAAAATGATTACGAAGACCAAACAAAATGAGTGCATCTTTGAAATCATTTAGGCTGTCAAAAAGCTGATCCACGCAAAGAATGTCATCAATGTGTCGTAAAGAATCCCGATGCGCATTTCTTGGAGGAAATGAAGACGTTGATGCAACACTTTGCGGAAGACCAATTGGCGATGTGGCTTCAACAAATTGTTTACAAGTGGATAAAAAGGTATATTGAAAATCACATAACCTATGCAGCGCATACATTAGTGTATTACTTTAAATATATATGTCTTACCTCTCACTATGATTAGTAGGAATTGTGCATCATGCAATTACAGGCGTTGCATCTTCCATATATATATTTAGCATGGGACCACTCGCTACAAGCATCATTCTAAATCCAGATTCTCCCGTCATCCTCAAAAGTTCATTCTTGTTAGTTTCGGTGGTATAATATATGACTTTACCACTCATGTTTGAAGATGAACGTTGTTGTAACTCATTTATAAATGATTCATATGTTGTTGTTGTTGTTATCATAAAAGGGTCTGTGACACCGCCGATGTATGTAATTTCCCCATTCTCATTTTTGTCAATTTTCCCATCAAATCGACAATAGCATATAATTTGTCTCTCATCCATTTCTCCAACTGTTTCAAAAATTGACTCATTAGTTAAAAAAAAACAAAACTAAATATGAAGTTCAAAAAATAATGAAATATAAAACAATTAAAGATCATAATTATATAATGTAATTTAGAGATCTATTTACAGCAAAACACTACCAATTCCCTCAATAGGGATAGGTGGTGTCAAGATTAAACTTTTCCTAAACACACACTACAGACCTTTTTCAAATCAAAATACAACCACAAAATCAATGCCATTGATTAGTAGATAATTGTATCACTATGTGTACAACAAACACATATACAAGATGAAGGAGATTATGAGATGAATTGAGAGTTAAATGGGACAATATAAATTGAAAATAAAAAATTGAGAGTTAAATAGAGAGAGAGCAAAGTGTTGAATATTTTTCACACACATAATTTATGTGTAAGTCTTGAAAATGGGGGAGACAAGTAGAAGGGAATGTTGGAATAATAAATTAATACTAAATACATTTTTTTGATAAATTAACACTAAATACATATATTAAAAAAGCCTCATTTATAGAGTTTGCTAGCTTTTGCATCAATCCTATCATGTGCGTAGATGCCTAAAGACACATTACACAGAGGTATACTCTACATGCCATTTGAGAAAGAGGCAACAATCTTGAATAATTCTTGATCTAAATTGACTTATAATAATTAATTATACATAAAAACTAATTGGACTACCTATGTGTTGGTGGCTTTGAATTTTAACTCCTAAATTCCTAGTTAAAGATTTAAGACTATGGAATGAAGAAATAGAATATGTGTGTGTATATATATATGTATGTAATGTGTATATGTATATACACACATAACACTAGATCAAACTTAGAAGAAGTAATTTAAATATATAGAGAATGCTATCGTTAACAAAGGTTGGAATTTGAATAACTGACCAACAAATGATTTTCACACATCACCCATTATGACAAAGAAATATTAATTAATATAAAATACCCATCTATTACGTTAGATTATGATTTATAAACGTATTCAAATGAACACTTGTTGCTCATTGTTATTTTTGGAGTCTAGGAGATAAAAGAAAGCTTTTTAAGCTTATCCTTTCCAACTTTTCTTTTTCTTATACACTTGTTTTCTTCTGCTTAATGAAGTATGCCTCCAAGATCACATGTTTTTGAGTCATTTTGACAAATCCATTAAGAGAATAATAATCCACATCAATGGAGCACTGTTTATTTAATTTGCTTTAAAACTGAGGTCCACATTCCACAAAATGGGATGATGAAACCTATATGCTACACACTCAGTCCAGCAGGGAATGATTGAACTATTGCCTACTTTGGTGTCCAGGGCAAGCTAAGAGGTCTCCATCTAATTTAATTTTTTAAAAATTGCTAAAATTTGAAGAAATTTTAGTATAGTATTGGTTATCTAATTTTAAATGATTTAGGGACGTTAAATAAATAAAATCTAAAGGTCCTAATCCACTAAAATCCAAACTTGATCTCAAATTTTTTATAAGCATTTGATATCAAAATTTTTGGATTTCCATGTTGAGACTAATCCTAAAAGGCTCGTAAACTGATCCAACAAGTCCACCATCAAATACTTATATATGTTTTTTCTTTTTTCAAAAGCAAAGGAGCATAGATTAATGATGAAAAGAAATAAAATCCAATTGCAATATGTCCAATATATACACACAGATACATATACATATGTGTGCATGTGTTGGCGAGTGTGTGTGAAAAAGGAATCAAGAGGAAGGAATTGAACAGAAAAAGTTACGATTTGCTTACTGATCAGACAAAGGAATCTGAGCCGTGTGTTATCATTTAGGGCTTAAGACTTGCTTCAATTGATGGCGAACTAGAGGAGGTTTGATTAAAAGTGTATCAGTCTTTAATGAACAATACCACAAATATAAATATGCATATATTTCAGATTCATCAACACAAATAATCCTAGTTAGTTGTTAGGATAATAAGACTTCAAAGCCACACAAGTGGCATAATTCATAATTCATCTAATGATAATTTATATGAAGTAAATTAAGTTTCTTCAGGTCTCTGACTTTTAAGCTGTTTCTCAACTGTGCCTTAGTTTATTTGATTATAGGTTTTGATTTTTCTTTGTTCAGTAGTTGATTAATGCTAAGGATCAGCTGATATGCTGAGTTGGTGGTATGTTACACCGTGGCAGAATACTCTAATTGGTTTGATATATTATCTTGCACCAGTATGTATTTAGTAGTTCTACTTATGTGAACAAATGATTCTTGTATATGAACAAATGATTCTTGGGGACAGGCAATAAAACACATTACTAATTAGGTTTTGCTGAGGATTTAGTCTGCAGTCATCAAAGAGCCTTGAATATACAGGTTGAATGAAAAAAGCTACCAAAACAAATGAAATTATTCTTCTTTGGCCCTCTGACTATGTGGGCATGGAAGATTCCCATAAATATCTTAAAATTGAACAAATTGTTAAGTTTCAGAATTCTTTCTAATAGGAACCATTTTTTATTTTTTATTTTTTGTATTACTTACTTTTTCCACTTCTATTACCACCCTTCCCCATCCAAGTGACTCAGCTTGAGTGGTATCTCATGTCACTTCCAAATAAGGATTCAATTTCCATGTAAAAAATAATAGTAAAAAATTGATAAATTCTGACTCTTTTTATAGGAGGATACAGATATAGCTGATTTTACTCATAGCTATCGAGCAATATTGTGGTGTGTATTGGTTATAACTGACAATGTGAATTTAAAATTTCAAATGGATATAATGGTGGTTAGTGTTAATGGTTTTAACTATTTTTTGATATTTCCATTAAAATGGTATATCTCTTTGATTTTGGATCATGTGTGTGGTTATGAAATTATGTGTTGATTTGTAAGGTTGCTTTCAGATTTGGATGAAAATAAAATGAAATGCTCTATAGTTTGCTGATGTAATGAGCTTAAAAATTTAAAACTATATGCTTTGAATATATATCTATATTAGTCCATGGCAACTACTGCTTAATGATCAATAAGCCGTGAAACTACTTTGATCATATGGAGCTTATTAGTTGCATCATGCTTACTACTAGTTTTGTGTATGTGTTCCATTATGTACTAATGAATGTGTGGTATTTAGGCCTATGGCCAGTGTGTGTGTGTTAAAATCATGTATAAACATATATATATATGACAAAGTTGTGTTATGTTTAAATATTTCAGCCCAACTCTTGTAAAAATCAGAACAAATTCATGTTGGTTTGGATGACTCCTAAAGGTTTTTTTTTGGAAGGTTAAACAAGTATTATTATACCGTTTCTCTCATGCCTTCTCTTTCTCCTTCCAGATCGAGGTACGTTAGGGTTTTCTCTCCCCTACTGGCACACGTGTTCTATGGACCTATATTAGAGTATAGTTCACACTATGATTCTTAAGATTGATGTGCTTATTGACGGTCTAGTACTATTTCAATCTCCTCCTAACAGCACTTAACATAATCATAAACTAGATTTAGCTCAGCCATTTTGTCTTGAAGTTTTTCCTCAATCTCATTGGGAAGCTATTCATGTAGTGGCTGAAATATGTTTGTTTTTTTATGATCCAAACACACTCAAACAAACACCAAATAGTGACCAATAGCTAGCCGCAGAAGTTACAATAGGTGTAGCTAGCCTATGGCAAGTGTGTTTGTGTTAAAATCTTGGTCATACAATTCTTTTTAACAGGTGTAAATCTAGCTCCCATTCTCACGATTTGTTTGTAATTTAATTTTGTTGCTTTTGCGCTTTATCTACCACTTTATGTGACTTAGTATAAAACCAAATATAAATATAAACTTACTGAATTTTTCTGTTACTATCAAATACCATTAAAGCAAAATTACAAAATTAGACCCTCCCTCACAAGAAACAAAATTTTAAGAATTTATTAATCATTCTAATCGATTGCAATAAGCTGCCAACATAGTTAATTGAGAGTCAATAATTCAAAGAGCATTTCATTTTATTTTTGTCCAAATCTGAAAGCAACCTTACAAATCAACATATAATTTCATAATCACACACATGATCCAAAATCAAAGAGAGATACCATTTTAATGGAAATATAAAACAATAAGATGTTTGGATACAATTGAAAATCAAAAATTAAAAGTACATAAAGCACCAGATTTAAAATTGGATTCCTCATAAGTATAAA